TTTCCATGCTTGAAACATCGCTAACCATAGCTAATTTTAATGGAGCATGAATTGAATATTTCTTTGGGAAATGATGTTTCCTTGTTACTGTACATATTTCAGTTTTATATACTTCGCCTATCTATCATCTAAATCTGTGCTGCAGTTGCTGATTTTAGTTGGCTTCTTTCTTTAATAGATACAATCTGCATTAGCTTATTGTTATCTTCCTTGTTTTAATCTATGATTACTTCATTGTAGCTGTAATATCAAGCCCACAGTCACAGTACAAATTGTTTCGAAACCCAAAGTTCAGAAATGTTGGGAAGTTCTTAACATTGTCCGAGTTTTTAAACATGGCAAGCAATGCTAGCTCTCTTCAATGTGTCTTAATCGGCATTGAGGTCAGTTCCTTCCCTTCTATATTTTGCTCTTCAAGTTTCTTGCGTTGGAGTTTACTGCCATAATTTTATTTTCTATTTCTATTCACATTATTGAACCTAATGATGGATGCTAAGAGGGCACAGTGTCTGTGAATGGTAGCTATTGTTCTCTGTCATGCTGGGGTGGAACTGTTAGCATGGTATCTTTAATTATTCTGAGAAACATAGTTCAATTTATGAACTCAACATCTGTTTGACAGTTTCATTGCCTAAGTCACTGTTAAGTACAGTAATCTAGAGATTCCAGAACATTTAGTACTTACCTTAATTGAACGTGGCTTGAGATTTAAAGACCATTCCTGTTTTCCAAATGCTGAAATGCAGTACCAGTTGGGTAAAACGACTTCTATTCTATTTAGGTTAACAATAATTAGGACATTTTCTAACTTAATAGATACTGGAAAGAGAATTTTCATGATCTTTTCCTCTATATGGGTAGCAAATGTCTAAATATTTTCTTGACATTGTCTAACAAATTCACAATCCTTTTCTCTTTCCGGTGATCTACAATCTACCTTCTCCAGAAAGCTTTTCTTGTGAAGAGTTTAAACATTTTTTGACTTGTTTGTTGCTTTCAGAATGCGCCTTTCCTTGCAGAGCAAGGATTTGGTGTAACTGATGCAGTGCTTGATGCCTTGGGCAAAGCCGGCTACAGCAACCAGACAGCTCAGTGAGTTATGATACAGTCCATTAATAGTTCTGTTCTAATGAGGTTCACGAGTCAACCCAACTATGATCTCGTTTACAAGGTTGATGAAGATATCGGAGGTGCTCAGAGTTCGACTATTGAAGACATTAGGAGATTTGCTAGCGCTGTGGTCATTAGCAAGGATTCTGTATTCCCCGAAAATTCAGCATTTATCACTAGTGCTACAAATGTTGTACCAAGGCTACAAGCTGCAAATCTCTCTGTATATGTCCAAACCTTCAGTAACGAGTTCACATCTCAAGCATGGGACTTCTTCTCCGACGCAACTGTTGAGATCAATTCATTCTTTGTGGGAGGCGGTATTAATGGTGTTGTTACAGATTTCCCAAAGACATCTAATAGATACCGGAGTAAGTGTTGTTACAGACTACCGGCCTTTCGCTTTTATGACTGGAATATGAATATGTCACGAACCAGTATTAACATGATAATCATTTTGTAGGGAACCGATGCTTGAACAGAGGCAATCGCACACCCGGCTACATGACTCCCGTGCAGCCTGGCAGCCTCTATCAACTAATCACACAACCTTACTTGCCACCAGCCGAAGCTCCAAACCCCTACCTGACTGATGCAGATGTGGTCGAGCCTCCTTTGCCTCCTGTATCCGTGAAAGCCCCAACTACTACTCCAAATGGTACTGCAGCCGCCCCAAGATCACCAAATGGACAGCCTAAAGTTGCTGCATCTGTCATCATGCCACTATTGACTGTGCTTCTAGCCATTTCTGCACTGTATTGAAACCGTAGAAAACCCGGCCTACCCTTCAACCATTTTGCTCCCTTGTTGGCCTATCTCATTGCTTCAATATCGAGTAGCTTGAAAGTTTGAGTGCAGGCAGAAAATTCAAGTTTTCTTTGTAGATATCTCCCCTCCAGAGTCCAAACAGATGTTAATTCTTTTTAGCATTTGGTTTTGCAGGTTGGTTCATTCTTCTCACTTCTATAAAGATGTGGATCTTTTCCCTATTTGGTTTTGTATAAAGATGTGTTTATGTTTTATTTGGTTAGACTTTGATCCCATGAACCAGTTAAAGAGTTGGGTTCGATCAACTCCTTTTAACTGTTAAAATTAAATTAATTCAATTGAGTTTGATTTAGTGTACATGCATGATCATTAAAAACTCCCAAATCTTGCCTTATAGGGCAAGTAAAGTCAAAGCTACGGGTAATAGGACTGGGCAACGAAACCGAGAAAATCAAACCGAACCGGACTATGAAAGGTTCGGTTCGGCTTGGGTTTTTCAATTTGCGATTTGGTTTTAAAAAATAAATATCCAATTCGGTTCAGTTTTGGTTTTTTCAAATGAAAACCCTTTGAACCGAATTTAAAAAGAATAAAAGAAAATAAGTATCTATAAAACACAATCATTTTGAATTTATTATAAGATAAATTTAAATAAATAAAATATTAAAACTAATACTATTTATAAATTTAAATTTATATATTTGCACTTGATTTAAGTTTTAAATTTACCTTTTTGGAGGTTGAGTTTGAAAAATCGTAAATAGTCAAAAATTGCCATCCCGAACCGAAAATCGTGGTTTTTATACCATTCGGTTTCGGTTTTCATTTTCAAAAATCGACGAAGGGTGGTTCGATTCATATTTTAGTGCAAAACTAAACTGAATACACCCCTAACAGCTAAGAGGCCAGGGATTGAGCACCAAGCTCCCCATTTAATATCCTCATCAAACATCAGCTCATGTCCTCGTGCACAATGCATAATCTGTATTAAGTGAAAAGGAAAAAACCAACTTAATGAATATGCATTTTCCCCTTTTATATATCTTAACTCATACGTATTGTAATATTTTAAAATAAATTCTTTAATTTAAAAATAATTTTATATTATATGACTGATGTAAGTTATATGATCTCTCACGCTTTACAAAACTACAATAATTTTGTTTATTGCCATACAATTTATTATTTTAAATTTACGTATTAATATATGTATTGAATTATAATGCTTGTACTAAACATAATATAAATAATTACATTAATATATTTTATAATACAATTAATATTCAATTTATTGATCGTAAATAAAATCTTATATATATATATATATAACTTAATATATATCATTTTTTTTACCCTTAGTAAATGAGAAAAATCCCATAAATCAAATTTTAAAAATCACACTTTTACTTTTGCAATATATGTATTAATAATTGATACCAACCTCAAAAAGAGAGAAGTTTGCATTTCTCTCTTTTATTTCATCATTCTCCATCAGTTTTCCCATGGAATTTTTGTCACCCACCAAGTTAGACGTTGATTCATCTTTTATCTGAGACATTGCCATTAAAGCAAAAATGAAGAAAACAAATTGGATTTGATATGAGCAGTAAATGTGAAAAAGGATTAAGTAAGCTTTTAGCATCATACCTCGTTGAGAGCGCATCCAATATGAGCAGTAAATGTGCATTTGTTACAACAATAAACGGGGTCTCGTGGTTTTCTTTCTTCTTCGCAAATATCACAGTAGTAATGGTCAGAATAATCCTCAAGAAAAACATCAGTAAACATAAGTTCATGCCTGTGATATTTTTGCTTAATACTTAATGGTATCAAACAATGAAGATGGAAATTGAATCGACATGACACACATCGATAATAATAACAATTAAACACAGAATCTTTGCTAGGATGAATCTTCTCCGAGCACTTCTTACATGGATCTAATTCCAGATTAGTTGACGAGGATTTCGTTGGAAGAAGGATAAGACTATGATCATGCAACTCATGTTTCAGACTAGGTTTGAATTTAACACAACTAATATGAATGAGGAATTGACACTTTTCACAAAAGTATCCTTGAAAATGAAAACCCCTAGTGCGATAACCACAGACATCGCATGAAAAGGGTGACCCCCCATACCGATATATTAACTGAAGCTGGTGGGATGGATGAAAGTGATGTTTTGAGATTATATTGGGTATGTTGATAAAACAAGTTTCATGAACGAAGGACTCTGATGGGGGACATTTAAAACAAACATAAGAGACTCTAGACAAAAGCTTCTCACACCAAAAACAACTATAGTGATACTTGTTCACTTTACGATACTTGAACCGTGTCAATGGATCAAAATGACAGAAATGAAGGATTTCTTTATATCTATGACTAGTGATAGTAGTTGAAGAAGCACAAATGTGATCAAGGTTGAAGTTGCAATCTGCACACCGATACAAGCAGCTTCTAGTAAGACTGGAACACCCATCACAAAAGAAATGGGAAGAATCATCATCTTTCTCGAAGACCAATTCAAGAGGGTGTTTTGAATGGAGAGGATGTGAAATTTAAAGTGGCATTTGTTGCACATAATATGAATGGTGTAGCCAAAACTTGCAGGTTTCACAAGTAAAGGCCCAACCATCAATTTGCCGGTTGCATCTATCACAACAACCCTCTTGTGTTTCATATTTATCGTAAAACAAGTGGTGTTCATGAAGGAAAGGTTTGAGGTTCATCCTCTCAAATGCAAATAGAAAGGAAAGATGGAGAGAGTAGATAGAGATATATTCAGGAGCTTAGAATATAAATAGTGAAAAAGAATGTCACATTGCAAGCCTGAAAAAAACAGAAACAAAAGAAAAATATTTGACATCTCTTGTGATTAGAAGAAAAGAATATCACTTTTTTTCTAATTTAATAAACATAAAAAAATTCATAGGTAACATAAGATTCGATGTTAACTTTAAGTAAAGAATATAAACCTTACTTTCAAATTAGTTTATTTCTATTCATTGGTGGAGCAAAGCAACACAGAGGAACATTGGTACAGGCAAAAGATGGTGTGGAGGTTAAATGATGGAGGGAAAAGAAATAGAAAAAAAATTAGTACATATTATGAAATAATATTTAACATTTAATTCATTTTATGAAAATAGTTATCGGATAAAATCGTTATTTCTTTCGGAAAATTTAAATAATAAAAAATTCAATGATGAATTTAAGGTTTAAATTTATTTGATATTTTATTTAAAATAGATATAATTACATCGTTTGACAAATATAAGTTTTAAAAGTTAATATAACTAAATAAAAAAAAGTATTGAAAATATTTTCCCTTTAGTGATAAATAGGTCCTTACCCACTTAACATTTTGTACATTTTTTCATTAAAATTACAACGGATAATTTGATTTTAAATTATTAAATATTTTTAAAACATTATCAATAAATTTATTAATTTTCAATAAAATAAATTTAATTAATGTATTATTAAATATGCCTTAAGTAATCGACATTGTTACTAAATCTTCTGCATTAAAAAAAAGTATTTAAACAAAAAGAATATTTCATGTTTTTTTTATAGAAGAAAGGAATGATACTTTTCCCATTTTCCTAAACATAAAAATAATTTATAAGTAATCTAAGATTCAACGGTAACTTTAACTTAAACAAAGAATATCTGAAATTTTAAGAGTTGGATATAATTTACTGGTAGAATTAGGGATGGGCATGGGTCGGGTTTCGGCCAACCCGACCGATCCAAAAATTTTACATCCTTCACCCAGGCCAACCCGACCGATCCAAAAATTTTACATCCTTCACCCAACCCGATTCGAAAATATATACCCTCCACTTGACCTAAACCCATATTTTTTGAGATAAAATCTGAACCCAATCCGATCTGATCCGAAATAATAAAAAATATTATTTTTGTTCAATAAAAATAAAGATTTAATTGAAAAAAAATAATATATAGAGGTGTATTACTGTAATTATTCTTAAATATATAAGGTAAAAAATTTTCGGGTCGGGTATAGGGTGAATATCACCTTTAAAAAAATCCGACCAGACCTAAACCCAATCTGATCGGATTGGGTCGGGCCAGAACCTGTTAGATTCGGGTCCCATGCCTATCTCTAGGTAGAATCGTTATTTATTACATAAAACATTGTATAATTATATATATTATTTTTAAAAAGTGAATAAATAAAAAGAATATTTAATATTTTTTGTCAAAAAGAAAAGAACGAATCTTTTTCCTGTTTTGGTAGACATAAAAATATAGTAAGTAGCATAATATTTGATGATAATTTAAGTGAAAAATAATTGAGATTTTATGAGTTAGATGTAATTTATTATTAAAATTTATATTTATCTCGTAAAACATTTTGTAATAGTATCTAATGCCTTTAAAAAGTACATAAATAAAAATAATATTTTATATTTCTTGTTAGAAGAAATGAATATTTTTTTCTATTTTTTTAAACATAAAAAAATCATAAGTAGCATAATATTCTATAATAAATTTAACTTAAGTAAAGAATAGCGTCTATTGTCTTTAAAAAGATGTATAAACGAAAAGAATGTTTTATATTTTTTGTGGGGAGAATCGAATAATACTTTTACATTTTTTCGTAAACATAAAAATATTCATGGATAGCATAAGATTCTATGATAAATTATACTCAAGTAAAGAATATTTGAGATTTCATAAGTTGTGTATAGTTCAATATAAGAATATATATTTGCCTCGTAAAGTGTTGTGTAATAGCATATGCTACCTTTAGAAAAGTGGGTAAATGAAAAAAATATTTGGTATTTCTTGTTGGAAGAAAGGAATGTCACCTTTCTCGAATAAAAATAAAAGAATTCATATGTAGCATAAGATTCAATGATAATTTCAACTTAAGTAAAGTATATTATCATTACTTTCGAGTTATTGTACTTGTGTTCATTTTATGTTCATTTATGGAGCAAAACACTGGAGAATTAGTGGTCGCAAATAATAATGTGAAGGTTGAATGATAAGGGAAGAAGAAATAGAAAATGAGTTATAATGGTGTCGACACCGTAGTTCGTCTAAGTGGGGAAAAACTAGCACGATTTGGGGTTTTTTTTTTTTTAAAGATTTTGAAATGTGAGGAGTTACCATCAACTATTTAAGGTGCGATTGAGACACTATAAAAACCGGTAATTTTAATAAAACATTTTATTTTTATTAAAATATCGAGTTTTGGGGCTTGCAAAAATCTAGAAATCAGACTCGAGAGTCGGTTACGCGTGGGAAAGGGTTAGAACCCCACAACGCCCAAAAATTGGAACCTAGTTGATTACCCTATTTTGAAATCTGAAAATTTTGAGTTCGAACTTTATTTAATCAAAAATTCATTATGGATGCACAATTGAAAATGATGTTTGATTATTTAAGACAATAATATTCACCCCCTAGCACGAATGCGGGAAATCAATTGTTATGCCCAATAATCGAACATTGCCTTGGAATTTTGGAAACATGACAGTTTTTCGAAAAAGATGTCGACCTACTTCAGGAATCACCAATAGTCACCCCCTAAGCATACTTACGAGAGATATACTAATGACTCCCTAATAAGTGAACATTGCCTTGTGTTTGAAAATATATGCAATCAATCAGTCAATCGATTATAATCCTAACTTTACTAGGTGAGTTTGTTAAAGGATTTCTAGCCTAAAAGTTGTCAAATTATGTAATTAAAGAATATGGAGGAATAAACCTAAAAAGTGTAGGTTTTAATATTAATCCTAATCATTTTTGGTAAATTATTGAATTGAACAACAAAAATGGAACCTCAAGCATAAGCGAAGGCCAAATCGGAAATTCTCCTAGATTAAAGAACTAAGTTTAAATTAAACATAAAATGGAGGCTCTAAATATTACCCTATCCGATTTTAATCAATTATGCAATTCGAATAATTAAACTGGAACCTCGAGCAAAAGCGAGGACCAAATTAAGAATTTTCCTAATTTAATGACTAAATGTGAAATTAGGCTTAAGATGGAGGCTCTAATATTAATCCTAATTAATTTTAGTCAATGGTTGAATCAAATAATTAATTTGGAACCTCGAGCATAAGCGAGGGCCAAATCAAAAAAATCTCCTAAATTAAAATTTTAAGGACCAAATTTAATATGTTGAAATAAAGAAAACTAAATTAAATTTAAATTAATCAAGAAAATGTACCTTAAGGGATATACTTGAAAACAAATGAAAGAAGAAAATTAGAATGCTTATTAAATATCTTAATTAAAGTAACTAATTTAAATAAATATAGAAAATATAGAAAATAAAATAAACAAAGTTAGTGAATTAAATGAGAAGAATGATTAAAATAAATAAATGGAATGTTGGAAATTTGATTCGGATAACCTGAAATGAAAAAAAAATATTGAAGTTAGTGAAATGATTTAAAATAAGGGCTAAATTGAAATAAAATAAATCAATTAAAATTAGGCGCTAAATAGTAATGAATTAAAAAAAATAAACAAGTGACTAATTTGAAATAAATGCAAAATTAAACATAAAGCCTTCGGGTACAAAATGAACGTATAGGGGCCAAAACGAAGACGTTTGGATTCGTCTATAAATCCTTTTTTTGTTTTTTCTTCCCCACTCTCTCTTCCCAATGCTCTCCCCTCCCTCTATACTTCTCCAGAAATCGACGATGAGCGACGTCACTGACAGCCACGCCGGTCGTCGTCACTGGCAACCTTTCAGGCCCAAATTACACAGGCTTGTCTGCCTCGACGTGATGGTTGTAGATCTAGGCGTGGTTTCACGAGAAACAATCTCAAACACAGTGAAATAAGGCTGAGACCCTTCGACTTTCGGTGCTCCGATCTTCCTTCTTTGTCATTGGATCGATCCATCTTGAAGTATGTTGGTCTTGGGGACTCAACGAAGCTTCCCACCATTCGATTTCCCAACGGAAGCTCCTAATACTGGCGAGGCTTCGGCCAAGAGGTAAACATGGCTTCTTTCTCTTTTTTTTCTGTATTTTTCTATCTGGATCTTTTTGCTAGTTTCTAATGGGTATCGCTTTTGTGGATTTTTTTTCCGAAAAAGGAAGAAAAAATGCTTGCTTGGTGATTAATTTATGTTATTGCTCGGTAAGAAATTACAAGAAACAATGATCTATGTATTGTTTTTTTATTGATAAAAAAGGGGAGACCCCTTTTACATTGCTTATGCTGATCGAAGGGGAAGAATAATGGGAATACCCCCTTTTTACAATATGTTTTTCTTTTTCGAATCCCTTTTTTTTGTTGTGGGTTTATATAACCCCAAATTATAAATTTTATTCCTTTCTTCTACATGTGATCTACTGTTGTAGACACCCGTTTTTGTATTGATTTTAAAAAAATAATAATAATAATATTATTATTATTATTATTATTATTAGTAGTAGTATTAACAATTTACATTTTATTTTTGTAGGCCCAATACTGGGACCCAAACCACAACCAGCTTATAACCCACCCAAAGGACCAGCTTCCAACAAGCCTAATTCAGATACA